TCGTCTTCAGTTGAATTTATCCTTTAGCACTTACTTTAAAACAAATATAGAGGCCTCTGGAACAAATAGCACCTGGCTCTCAATAAGTACTAAAAGGTACCAGGCGACAGAATCAATGAGTAAGGAAGGTCTTTATATAGTAGATATGCATTTCTCCTGTCTCCGAAACAGTTGCTGGAATCAAGTGAAATGATCTATCTTTGAGTACTTTCAAAGTATGAAATGCTAACCAAATGTGAAGTAATAATTTTTTTTTAATTTATTTATTTGTCAGAGAGAGAAAGAGAGAGAGAGGGAACACAGCCAGGGGGAGTGGCAGGCAGAGTTAGAGGGAGAAGCAGACTCCCCGCTGAGCAAGGAGCCCGATGTGGGACTCGATCCCAGGACCCTGGGATCATGACCTGAGCTGAAGACAGAGGCTTAACCGACTGAGCCACCCAGGCGTCCCCAAATGTGAAGTAATAAGATGACATACTATTTCCTGGAAAGTGTACTCTCGTGTTGCTTCCAGATGCCAGCAGAAAAATAAGAAAAATATTTTTCAGAAACCAATTTGTATATGTGATTCAGGATCCCTTTACATTGTAATGGAAAATTTTAGGACAAAATACGGGGGAAAAAATGTGACATTTGATGTCATCCCAAAGACCTATTTTTACCAATTGCTGCATTTATTTTACAACCAATTAGGAAAATTTACGTGTATAGAAGTGCGATTCCATCTTGAACGACAAATGGGATACTACCTGATCCAGATGTACATTCCCAGTCTCCTGATCGTTATTCTATCCTGGGTTTCGTTCTGGATCAATATGGATGCTGCGCCAGCAAGGGTAGCCTTGGGAATAACTACTGTGCTGACTATGACCACACAGAGCTCAGGATCGCGAGCCTCCTTACCAAAGGTAAGTGCACCAAAGGGACATGCACATATATGTGCACAAATATTTATAGATATATAATATTTTTACATAGAAAATTCACACATATGTAATTATCAACTTTTGTCATATTGTATGGATGCACTGTAGTAATATACTTACTATTAGGACTAACGCAATAATGAACATTTATATGATGAATGTTATTTATATTCATGAATATATATGTGTGTGTGTATAGCTTTACATATATTTTGCATTTTTTCCTTAATATCAATTCTTAGAACTGGAGTCGCTACACTGATGGTTGTATGTATTGATATGTATTGCCAAATATCCCTCCAGAAAAATTTACAGCAGTTACACTCCCACAAGTAGTGTATGAGGGTGTCCATAGTACTGTATATAGCACTTATTATTTTTGTGCTTGTTTTCTTTCCCTTTTTGGCTTTTTAGTTGCCATAGGTCAATAAAAAGGAAAGTTTATCTAATATCATGATTTTAGTCCATGTGGATCTGCCAGAATTAAAATAAACTGTTCTCTCTATGAGGTTTGTAAAAAGCCCCAATATTTCTTTTTAAAACATATGCTGAAATAAAACATAGGAAACTCTTTTAATCCATTTAGCAAACAGCAATAGAAAATTCTTTTCCTCGCCTAAATGACTTCTAAAAAAATTTCCTACTATCCAAATTAAGTAATCCTGTCTAGCTTCCAACAACCTTCATCATTATTTTCATTACAATGATGTAGATGTAGTAAAATTATATTAACTTTTCTTGTGCATTTGATGCTATCTACCTGTAATGCCAAGCAAATTATAAATCTATTGTCATGGCTTCCTTAACTCTTACCATGAATTGCATTGTATGACTCAATTTATTAGATTAAAATACCTAAATAAATAAAAGTTGATGGCAGGACATTTTATCACTAAAAAAGTTACTTCAAATAGGAAGACTTGATCTTTAACAATGCTCACACTGCCTAGATACAATTTAATGGCTGTCTTGCAAAATAAGGTCTACTTTTATTAATATTTAATTGAATTTTCAAAATGATCCATATCAACTAGTGTTTTATAAAATATTATTCAAGTGAAAATTACAGATCTGCTTATAAGATTAAACTAATAAGTCTCAATGCCCATTTATATATGTATAAATGTCTCAAGGACTCTGAGTAATAGTTGAAGTCCCATAGTCAATTTGTAAAGGAAATTGCCAGTTTACTCATTGATTTTCCTCAAATGGTAAACAGAAATGAAAGCTCATTCTTCTGTAAGTTGTCAACAAAAGAAGAGAACAAAATGCTCCGTTTCAGAAAACTACAGCTTCTATGAGACACAGTATAAAGACATTTGAATACAAACATTAAGGCAGAATTGGGAGAGCATGGAGATCAGAGTGGAGGAAGCAGAAATAAAGAAAGCAACAAATTAAAAAAAAAAAAAACAAAAACAAAATTAAAACACAAGTTTTTGTTTTTGTTTTTTAAAGGAAAGAAAATCTTGGGATGGCTTCATTTTCTTAAGACATAGGAAAACATTTTTAAAAATCTTTAATTTCACTGTGATCTCAGGGAAGGAATAAATTTTCAACCATGAGCTCAATTATATACATAAATGCACACAAAACCTCTACATCTCTCCAGACATAGAGACAATGACCTCTAGAAATGTGATAACAGATTTATTTCCGACCCACAAAAATAACTGATTAACAAAATGGTATCTTAAGAGAGAGTGACAATATCATTTTAGGTGTTTTTTTTAAGATTTTTTACTTATTCATTTAAGAGAGAGGGAGAGAGAGATCATAAGCAGGGGGAGAGGCAGAGGGAGAGGGAGAAGTAGACTCCCCACTGAGCTGGGAGACCAACGTGGAACTCGATCCCAGGATCTGGAGATCGTGACCTGAGCCAGAGGCAGATGCCTAACCATCCAAGCCAGGTTTTGTGATAGTTAGGGAATGGGAGGTTGAGCATATTCAGCTACCTACGTTAGAATTCAGGAAGGCGGACATTGAAGACCCAGGATAAACAACAAGAGTTAATCTATTGGAAAGAATAATTCCAAAAAGTAGAAAATCTCTTGAAAAATGCAATTCTGATTCTGTGATTTGGGGGGGCTAGAAAGGCAAGAGGCGAGGGCCCACACTTGCCTTTAGGAACAGATGGCTGAATCATACACCTTAAGACCTGATATATTCTCAACCTCACAAAAGAACCCTCGGATGCCTAAAAGTCTTGCCGCTGAAATATCCACCATTCTCTTAGTGACAAAATCTAGGAAGTAGGAAAACAAAATTAAATTCAGGAAACAAAGAGGATTATCAGACAGAGGAGGAAGAGACAATAAAGCACTAATTTATTATAATTGCTTAGTATTTTGTCCAGGCTGTGTGCCAATGCATCTCCTAAAGGATACAAAGGAGTTTGGAAATCAGTCAAGTAAGACTCAGGGTAGAAAATCTCAAAGGATATACCTTAGCCAGCACCTTGAGAACTACAGAGATCAGATTCCTCTCTGATATTTCCTGTTGCATTGTCCTCTACAGTGTCATAATAAATCAAGCGTGTAACGGCCCAAAGCAAGAAGATTCCTGTGATTCATTTCTTGGAACATGGAACTATTTGGTGTTTCTGTGATGCCTGCATTAGGTGACCAGAAGGGGGTGACAATACATTCTATTGCCAGCAATTTTTCTAAGTTGTATAATGTTAGGGACACTCCCTAACACTGTGCTTGGAGAAGAATGAGTGAAAAAAAATGGTGATGATCATGGAGCCATGTCAATGGAGGGTTTTATAAACCTTGATAAAGATCAGGTTTATTTTGAGTGGATTTTGAAAGGATTTTAATGAGAAGAGTAATCATTCTGACTTTTATTTGAAGATCAGATAGAAGGGGGAGGGAATGTGGAAGCATAGAAACTGCCAAGCAAACTATTGTAGTCTAGAGCAGATGATGGTCTGGCTAGATTCGTAACAGTAGAGGTGGAGAGTAGGAGATGGATTTAGAAAGAGGTGGGTGTTTTAAAGAAAATGCATTTGGAAGTGAAAAAGACAGGATTTGCTCATGAACTGGACCTTGAGGAGTAAGGGAAAAGCAGGAGTCGATGGCAGCATTCAGGTAACTGGGCAAGTAATGGTAATAGTTAATTAATGAGGAAGATTGGGGGAGGTAACTAATCTACGGTTGAACATGTTAACTTTGAGATGTTTATAAGACAGCCACATGGGATTGTCAAAAAGTCAGAACCTGGGGTGCCTGGATGGCTCAGTCAGTTAAGTGGCTGCCTTCGGCTCAGGTCATGATCCCAGGATCCTGGGATGGAACCCTGAGTCGGGCTCCCTGCTCAGCGAGAGCCTGCTTCTCCCTCTCCCTCTGTCTGCCACTCTGCCTACTTGTGCTCTCTCTGTCTCTCTGTCAAATAAATAAATAAAATGTTAAAAAAAAAAAAGTCAGAGCTTCCAAAGTTCTGACAGGGGACACTCAGGCCTCAGATTTCAGGGAGTAAAACCATAGATGGATAAGGAAGCAGAATAGAGATGATTTTTCTAAGAATGAAAGAAAGCCGAGAAAGAAGGGAAAAAAAGATGTATTTGTGGTTGGCCCTCCTCCTCCAGTTGGAAATGGACCTGAATATTCAAAGTCTTCTCTCTCCTTCCTTTTCCCACAGCCATCTCCCACCCACCCCCACACACAGAATAAGTTAGACAGTTGAATTAAAGGCAAGACCCACTCACCCTAAACCTTTACTCTCAAACTCTTGAGATCTCAACATTCTGTGATTATTTTTTTTTTTTTTAGATGTGGAAAAGCAATCCTCCCTGGCAGACTTAGGTTTAATCAGGGGTGAAAGAGAGGATAATAATAATCATTTAATTATTTTTGAGTATACATTTGATTTATACTAATACCTAGTTAAAATCTTGGCATTGAGAGAATTATATTTTTTATTAAGTATAGAAATGGGTCAGAATACAGAAAATCAGTAGAAGGAATAAAATATAATTTTTTTTTAAATGTATACTTTAATAAGCATATAAACAATTAGGTAAGCTTGTGGAGAAGCTGACCAAGACACATATATTAGGGGATACAATTGTCCATCTAAATTTTCTAGATTTCTTTTTTTTTTGCAGAGTATTTATTCAAGTTGTTTACTATATAATTTCTCGTGTGCCATTTTGGAAGTCCTTTATTGTAAAGACTAGTCTTTTGTCTGATGACAAACAGCAGCCACACTGTCAGTGATTATTCTGGACCTCCACGCTGAAAAGGAAAAAACAAAGCAAAACGATTAGGTGTTAAATTTACAGAAAAAATGTTCTCATGGCCACTATATGAATTTACACTATTTTAAACAAATGATCTTTAGGCGTTTAAAAAAAAAGTTTCGGTTTTCCTCTTAAGCACTCCTATCAATGTTATGAACAATTTCTGATCTGGAAAGGACTCAAGGTTGACCCTGATTGGTGGTCCTCAAATTTCATGGTCTCAGCAGCCCTTCACACCGAAAAATTACCAAGGATTCTACCGAGCTTTTTTCATGTGGTTATGGCTATTGCTACTTCCCATATTCTACTTCCACACATATATTCCTTCATGTACTTTTACTGAGGGCTTGTACATGGTTTATTTCTCATAGTCCTGGTCTACCTGACTATTTTGGTCTTAGCTACTGACCCACCATGACAAGGTGATGGAAAGAGCAAGTAAATCAGCCTATGAAATTCCAAAAGCCAAAAATGTTCATGTCTTTTGCACAGTACTAAGATAAAGAGCAATGACATACTTGGATAAATTCAATTTCTTCTTGAGATACAAGTTTCCTTCTGTATTTCTGAGGTAATGTTTTTATTATTTCTGCAGTGTCTGGTGGGCCCTGATGCACCAGCAAATCTGGGGATTTACTTCCCTTAGAATGCTGTGAAATTGAAGAAGAGTGAGACGGTAGTCCTGCTGATCTCAAAACTTCTGATACGTTAGGTTTAGGATTGTCTCTTCTGTCAGGGAACCTTATTAATGGAGTATGTGGCTTGACTACCTGAACGACCCTGCTGGCAGACGCCATCTTACTGCCCATCATGACCCCAGGATGGGGCAGCAGCTTCCGGCGCGCTCGCTAGGTGCAGAAATAACCAGGAATAAAATATAATTTTAATTTGGAAGCTATGGGTTCTAGCAAGACTCCACACCAGGGAACTCTGGGAAGATCTCAGTTATGCAGCATTATGATATATACTTTACCCTTCATTTCCCAAAGAGCAGTTATGTCTTATTGGAGACCTACTCCGTTCATTCTCTTTCACAGGGACCAGCTAAGGTCCAGCTTTTTTTTTTTTTTTTAAGGTCCAGCTTTTTACATGTTTTTTGTTTCATATCATCTGCTGAAGTACACAAATATTACCATGTACACACTAGTTTAGTCTTAAAAATGAGTTTCAAATCTATTGTCATACCAGAGATCTTTGAACATAGTATGTTAAACAGACAGATGTGTGTGCACACCCCACCCCCCCAACACACACACCCAGACACAAGCTTGGCAGGGGCCAGAGAATCTCTAGATTCCAAGTTCATCCAAACCCCAGCTCTTTTTCTTGTTGTTGTTAAGATTTATTTAGTTATTTATTTAAGAGAAAGAGAGCAGGTGTGTGCCTGAGCTGGGGGTCGGGGGTGGGGTGGGGAGGGGAGCAGAGGGAGAGGGACAAGCAGACTCCGTGCTAAGCATGGAGCCCGATGTGGGGCTCAATCTTACAACCCTGAGATCATGACCTGAGCTGCAACCAAGAGTCAGGTGCTTAGTGGACTGAGCCACCCAGGTGCCCCCAAACCCTAGGTCTTAACACAATAGAGTCTTGGAGCCCAGGATTGTTTCAGTATAGTTAGGTTGCACTTGTTCTGCATAACAAATAATCCCAAGTCTCAATGGTTTACCACATTTATTTTTGCTCATAGGCCTGTGAGTTGCCTGACTTTTCCAGGTTTGTCTGAGATTGGCTGATTTGGATGGGCTTAGATCGAGGCTGTGGAGTAGGCGCACATCTGTTCCCACCCATGTGGAACTGTAGGTACAGTAGCATACTCTTTTCATGGAGGAATGCAGGAAAATAGGAAGACAAGCAGAAGCATGCAACGCTTTTGCTCGGAATTAGCACACAGTCACTTTGGTTATTTTCTAAGTCTTCCCAAGTCTCACAACCAAACCCAAAGTCAAGGGGGTGGGGGTGAGCGTACTCCACCCACAGGGTAGCTTTGGAGTGGAAAGGAGAAACAAAGGACTGTCAACAAATAATCTTATCTACCTCAGGGACAATGATTTGTTAAAACTTTCTGTCTCCGTTCCTAGACCAGACTCTGTCATATTAGTAAAAACTTAAGAAAACAAGAGAAGAAAAAGGAATGGAGAGAGGAAAGATGGAGGGATTCCTGGAAAGTTCTATGTGAATTTCTCCTACTCTGCCCCCACCACTATGGCCATCTCATTTGGAGCAGAGCTAGAAAATAAGAAACACTTGAAATTTCAAATGTAGATAATCAATTAAATATTTCACAGAAGCTCAGAAGGCTGTAGCCTATGAAAATCTCAAATTCTGCACCAAAAGCTGTTTATCTTGAATAATTTCTTTTTGCCTTTTTTTCCCCATTCGGTTTGTCTGTGAAACCCATCGAGTAGATTTTTGAGAGAACAAAAGATCTTTTACATATTTCTATCCTCATGTAACTAAATCAGTACATGAGTAAATATCATGCAGATATTTAAAGATAAGAACTTTTAAATATTTACTTAGTACTTAGTCCAAACTTGAAAAGCAAAAAAGTCTGTCATTTTTTTTCATATCTTTCTAAGAGAATGTAAAAGCTCAATTGAGTTACTCTTGTACAGAACCATATTTCCCCCCTGAAAATCACCAGATTAATGAAAAAAAATTAAATGTTGTATGTGTCTACCTTATAGTATAATGAAAACATTGGTTTTAGAAGACGTAACAAAGATAGCTTTTATATTAAGTTTTTACTCTTCCTAAAGACATCAATTATAGAAATGATTGCAAATGTTAGAAAATATCAATTGAACTAATATATTTTTATTTGGATACCATGGTTGTGTGGGCACACAAAGATCTATATGTGAGATTACATTGAAAAGACAGGGATGTGAAGAAAACTGGAAGATCTGTACTCACTATTGTGTTCTTATCTAATTAGTTCTCATTCTCAACAAACAAACAAACAAACAAACAAAAACCCTGCAGTTTTAAAGGAGAGTAAGCTGTAAATGTCAGCAGTAATATAAATGAGGGGAGGGGACTGCATAGTAATCATATTAATATAGCAATAACTATTATTGTCAGTAGTTTTGGTCCTCGCCATTTAAATGCAGCATTCTAATATTTATTCAAAATACAGTTAACTAAAATTACTTCAGTTACATTCAGTACAAATATGGTGCAAGTAGGTTCATTTTTAACGAATTTTAATAATCATACTTAACTTATAATACCTATTTGATGTGAGCAATATATTTAATTTTTTTAAAAATGTATTGAATATACTAATAGTTTGGTTTCATATTAGGTTCACTTAGGAAACAGAGAAAAAGAAAAAAGTCTAGAAAGTGAAAGAATCATTTATTCGTTCCATTTTTTGTTAAAAATCACAGACTATAATGCATGTGAATGTCATCCAATTGTATTAGTGTTTTATCTATTATCTGTAAACAGGTAATTCCTAAACATAAGGTAGGTCCTATAATAGGAAGGGTAGAAATTGACAGATATCTCTGGTTCTACATTTAATGTTAGAACCTACATTTATTAGGCTTACTAGATCTCACGAGGCTGAAAAGTAAGTTATCAAGCATGTCCTTTAAAGGTGACATAGAGGCATAACCACATCACAGATTCTTAAATCTGATGGCACAATTAGGAAAAAGCATATAATCAAATCACGAAGTTTAATTTAAAAAAAATAGGATATAATACAGTGGTTTTGGCATCAAACTAAATTTAAAAACAAAGCAAGTATATGCTACTTTGAGACAATTTTACCTAAATAATGTCTGAAACCCCCTTTACTGCGTTCACATATATCCTAGAATCATACCACAAACCCTCCCGACAGATTAAAAATGGATGGAAAACTCCCCCTCACCCACGGAATAAAGAACACCGTCCCAACATCAGTGTCCTTAAGCAACTAACAAGCTTTCTCTGTCTTTGTAATTCCTGTTTGAAGCTGTCAATGAAGGTCTTGACCTCCGAGATAAAGGGATAAAGTAGGTATATGGTTAAAATAAAGATGATGTTATAGACATGCAAAGCCTCCAGTACAAAAATGTGGAGGAGAGAGAAGTCACAGAATTCAACCTTTTTTATAAATTTTTTTTAAGATTTTATTAATTTATTTGTCAGAGAGCGAGAAAGCACAACCAGGGGGAGCAGGAGATAGATGAAGAAGCAGGCCCCCTGCTGAGCAAGGAGCCCGATGTGGGACTCGATCCCAGGACTCTGGGATCATGACCTGAGCCGAAGGCAGATGCTTAACCGACTGAGCCACCCAGGTGTCCCTCACAGAATTCAACCTTAACGGAACAGTTAAAAAAGATAATATAGTAAGAAATCCCAGTAACTATCAGTATGCACCTAAGAAGTATTTGCTGCGATATCTAGATTTCATTTCATATAAACGGTAAACATCAGAGACTTGTCCTGTAGAAGAGACGATGGCAAAATTCCCAGAATTGAAGCAGAAGTCAGAGATAACAAGATGAGCTTTCAAAATCCCTTAGCCTTTTTGGTTGTACTTTTCTCATCTGGTGACTGGAGGGATTGGCCAAGTCCATTACTTAGGAAAGCTGCAGCTCTGTTCTCTTACGATTTCATCTCTTAAAATAAAAACTTTTATGTGGAAAATAAATACTGTGTTCAAAGTATCATTCATTCACTAAGGGTTACGAGGATCATAATCAGTATGAATGCGACATCGTAAGGACTCTGCTGTTGTGAGCAGCCCTCCGGGATGATAAATGTCCAACTCACAAAACCTTGTACTATGTGATCCACTGCCTAGTGTTCCAAGAAGGCAGTGCTCCAGACAGTTTCTTTCACTTTTTCAACAGCCACTTCATTCTCCTTTAACACCTGTTTCTAAAACATTGTTTATTCTTTCCCTTGTCTCTCTCTCACTTTAGGTCTGGAAGGAAGCTCAAAATGATTTTGCGACTAATATTTTTTCCTAGACAAATTACAAAACACAAAGTTCTCATACATGTTTTACACTAGGGAGAAATGCAGGATTAAATACACTACAATCTAGATTTTACAAAACCAAGATTAAGGAATAGTCATTATGATCTGAAATTAAATCCCCGGGGGGGGGGGGGGGGAAGCCGTAACACAAGCAGTAAATCTTCCAGCATACCTCAGAAGAAAAGCATCTAGTTGAATGCTTGAGTCATTTGTCCATTCCACAGCCAGAACTGCTCCTCACAGTTTCTTTTACATTTCTAAGGAACTGGGAGTATCCATCAGGATTGACTGTCATTAAAGGGAGAAAAATCACCCTGGTTGAAGGGCTATTTTAGCTAATCAAAAGCAATACTCTGTGATGTTTTGCTATGCCTCTTTCTCAAATAAAAAGCAAATTTAGATTGAGAAAAGAATTGATAAAATACTCACTTTCAAGTGGTTCCTGGAAAATCTACCTTCCTTTACTTCCCTAGAGCGCCAACATGTAGGTTTATATGAGATTTTGTGATGCCAACTCCTGGTTCTGGCTGAATCCACCCCTTATTCTTAAATTTAAGTTGTGCTCCTTGTAAATGCATTTTAAAATTCTATTTCTAGAAGCTATTGACTAACAGTAGTCTGGGTTATAATTTATAATTTAATAAGTATAATTTACTATAAATAAGTAGTCTGGGTTATAATCTAATAAATATTTACCCACTAATGCATTTGTCATCGATGAGCTCTAGTGTGGGGCATTATCAGTCTCAGGAGGCAATTCTTTTAACCACATTTATGCAGGGTAAGGTAAAGGCATGTATCTTGCCAGACTTCTTGACTATACCATTTGGAGCCATGCTTGTAATACAGCTCACCCAGTGTACTTGTAAAGGAATGTATTCT